AGCCAAGGAGATTTCCGCGTAGTTGGCGCATGGCTGGGAATAAAAGGTGTGTAGTTTTCCTCACAGTTATATCTTGGTTCTTCCCGTAGATCATTGCAATAGTTATAGAAGGCAGAAGTGATGGCGATGGCAAAAGACGCGGCTACAGGGAACTGGACACGAACGTGGAAGAAGCCATGCCGTTACTTAAAAGTTCAAACTGAACATGTTTCCTAGAATAAAGTGTTTCTCATTTGCGAAGCTGTTTTGGAAAAAAAATGATGCTAGCTTGTACATGTATATAGCTGATCGTGCCTTAGGGTTAGGCCAACATCATGCCGCTCAGGAGGCTGGTGTCGGGAGGGTAGAATATAGCAATACTCCAGTAATGCACGCCCTGCAGTTTGTTTGTTTGTTTGCTTTTTTTTTTTTTTAACCTGGTAATGAAAGTTACTAAAAGTTACTAAGTTGTACTTTGGAAGTGTTTGAAATAAATGAGAAAAACTGTCTACGTTTCTCTGAAAGCTTGGATATTACATTCTTCGCACAACAAAAATGAACTTAGTGCTGACAAAATTTTGCCACGTGCTATGACNCACACACACACACACACACACACACACTCTTTCTCCAGATGAAGAAGGAGAGGTCCATCTTTCATTGGTCACTTCCGAATTACTCCCCACCTTGTCGCTCAAAGATTTGGATAAGGAGAATAACTAGAATTAGGCTCCTACCAAGAGCATGCCCAATCTCGTGAACAGCTATTCCATGGAAGCCACATCCAGAGCGAAGTGAAATTCGCTGCTTTCCACCAGTCCTACCAACAGATGAATAGCAACTGGAAGAACAAAAACAAAAAAAATTGTCAAAACACTGTTTGTTCTTATTCATAATTTTATCCTAGATTTTCTCCCTTTATTTCAACTTGGACGAGCTACATGTATGACACCTAACAAAGGGAAAAAGAAGCTTTACTATTAGTAGTATGAAAGCGAAGACGAGTAAGATTCCGTGATTAGTAGAAAGTGTATTGTAAAATTAAGAGTAATTTTCTTTTGTTTTTGCAAAAAGGATGATTATAGAGCATCAATCCTAATCATAAATTAGACGGCTATTAACAAACCTTTTAAAAAGATGAGATTTTAAACTACTCTTAAATGTACAAACACTGTTCGATTTCCGAATGTCTAAAGGAATACTTTTGCGAAATCTAGGGGCGCACGTGGAAAAAGCCCTGTATAAGATTTAGTTAAAGAATTTGAACTAAGTGTCCTGGAATACTACTGTTACTGAAGTAAATCAATCAAGTAAATCAATTAAGAGCCTTTTAAACCAGCAGAAGTAACCTGAGTACAAAGCCGTAGGAAATTGGACGCCAGTCATTTCGAAAGCTAAAGAAGTTAGACAGAAGAAAAACATAGGAAATATAGTGGACATCTGCACCCAGGCTAATGGTGATATGACAAGCAGTCAAGACAACCTTTCCTGACAAAGAACTCTATGTAAGCCTTCTCTGTTGTCCTCTTCACAAATTTGATGTACGTCTTTTTTTCCCACTCTTCCATAGCGCTGAAAATAGCAGGTCTCTTCCAGATGCTATCGTAAGAAAACAACGATTGATTTTTGTTACATTGCTAGTGAAGGCTTCCTTGCTTAGTCACGTTATCAAATATGTTATCTGACTCGAATGCCAAGAAATATGTGTAATTTACCTGCGCTGCCGTGTATAGTATAAGGAACGACTCCTCCAGGCCATTTACGATACTTTGACAATCCACGTGCTCCACCGACGTCATTAGGGCTCATTCCATTTTCGGCTGCTTGAATCTGTTCTTCGGTGAGCAACATATCGCCCTCAAAAATCTGAGTTGAGGAGGTTTCTGAGAAGCAGACAAAAAGATTTACAACCATTAATTATGAAAAAAAAATGTTTTATGAATGAAAAAAGGACATCAAACCTCTCTTTTCACGTTCTTCATTTTCCACGTGCAGTGCAAGCGTCGAAGTAACGACGAGCAAAATGCAAAAAGAAAGCAACCTCGGAATCCAACTGCCAGAGAGCCACAAAACTTGGTAAGATCAGCACTATGACCGCAGCCGTCCCTTTAAAGACGAGCTTGTTTCAGCTTTATATAATAAGCAAGAAAAACACCGGCTTAAATTTTTCAACAGGACTGTTCAGCTGTACTTACAGATTTATGGAAAAACTTGGAGCGCCAACAATCGACCATTAAGAAACTGCCAACAGCACAGACAGTTGAGTACATTCTGCTAAAATTTGGAAAGCGACTACAAAAGAGACCGTTTACCAACGAAACCAATGCGGCTTCTTTAAGCTCTCTCCTTAATTTACTTTGTGAATTTGAGTTCAATCAGCTGTTTAATTTTCTTTTTTATGTAGCTGATTGGTTCTTTGACCTGAAAACCCTTGAATAGCGATTTAATTTTTTTTGAATCCATTATGATTATTATATTCTTTTGTCCTGGTAGCTCAGTGCTGCTTTACTTTACTTAGCTCAAAACTGAGAATTTTCTGACTGAATGATTGAATGAAGGAGTGTTTATTTCACATCGGATATGTGACAGCAACTACATGCATGTATTAAATATTGAAATGTTTAAAACGTTCTTTGGAGGAAGGCTATACAAAATATAGCAAACTATAGTCTCCCTTATGATCAATGTCAATTGACTACTTATAAATTATAAAGCTAAACAAACTGGTATCAGATATTCAGTATTTTCAGCATTATTTATCCAGACAAACAGTAACTTTCGTGGGTAAACATTAGTCCATTCTAAGTCTACTTCGTTTGTTAAAATATGTATAACTGTCTCAAAAGACATACAATAACAAAATTTTTTGCCAGAAAATGTTTCACTTTTGTGTCTGAAAACCTATCGTATATAATTTGTTCATTTTGAAGATGACTCCATTGTCGAAAATGTTTGATGCTAATGCAGTTTTATGCGAGTCAATTTGAAATCGTTATTAAACCGTTAGCACGTTTTAAAACACAGTTTAAAGTAAAAGGAAAGTTTTAGACTTTTCCTTGCTATAAAAGTTAAGAACACTTGGCGATAAATCATGAATGTTTTGGTAACAAAAACGGCTTTGAATTTTAACGGGCCGGGCAAATTGACCTATCATAGCGTGCGTGATAACTGAAAGCTATAATAAACATTTATAATTCTTTGGCCCTTTTCTTATTTGCCAGCTTTGTACGATAGTTATCAATCTTCACCGAGAGTATTTCCAGGAAAATTGCTGGCTGACGTAGCATAAAAGCTTTCTTTAAGGAGAATACCTGTTGTGTCATTCATTACTCAAGGCAAATTGCTAAAACTAATGCAACGAAAAGTGCATTATGGTAAGAATTCAAAAAAAAAGATGCATATTCCTTTCGGAAATGCACAAATGCAAAACGTCAACATGGCGAGATTGGTCTTCTTTTACGATATTGTTCAAAGAATCTATCGTCCCTTCATTTCAGTTATTTAATCAGCTATACATTTTCAATTCCTCCAGAGAACACGGTCGTCTTCAAAAGATACATGACAGATAATTGATATCGCAAGGGAGAATTTGATGTCATTCTATTTTCTCACCTTTCCCCAAGGTTTCCGTTGCCCGATACTGGGGGCTTTGAGATCTGAGGGCTGGTGCTATATGCCTATTGTTGAATTGTACATGTGTGGAACAATGAATGGTCAGTAACTCACCAGGAGTAGCCGTTAGTAATAATAACACTTAGTGCATACATGAATACAGCTGAGTAAATAGGCTAACTGATGGCGCTGCTTTATTTTTCCTTTATTTCATTAAAGAGATTCTTTTGGTTCGTCAATCAAACTTATACATTTTACATAGAAATAACAAGATTCCATGAACTTAATACGTGTAAAATAAATACATGAAGTAGACACCTGAGGACTGTAAAAATCGAGTTAAGGCGGCCTTTACACTGAAATATAAAGTTTTTTTTTTCAAACAACCATTTTAAAAATGTGAAAATTCAACATTTAGATTGTATTTTGAAACGAGTTTCCTCTAATCACTCGTTGATTTACGTTGAAATTAAGTTATCTGCGGCACTGGTAGCTATACTTCAACATAGAAACGCCCCTAGCAACGGTTGTTTACAGTCCAAAAGTGTTTACAAAATTGATTCATGCTTTTGAACTTAGTACTATGAGAATTTTTGCATCAAGATCCTGAAAATTGTTTCCTCTACCATCTTATACACCCCTTAAACGTGGTTAACATTTCTATGACCGGTGTCTGATTAGGGTATTCAGTGCAACATTTGTGTATTTCACAGGGCTAAAGTGGGTTTCCAGAGACCGAAGCAAACTTTAAATCCTTATTACCGAAAAATATCTCCTTTTTGAATGATATCTCCCGTTTGAAGATTGGTAAAATCTTGGTTTTGAAGACTGGTAAAATCACAATTATCTTTGTCGTGAATTAATAAATTTTTCAATGTGTGAAAGGTTTTCCCTGTTATTAAGTTAATCATTTCAAAATAAAAACGAGCGATAGAAACTTTACACAACGTTTCGATGTCGTCATGACATCATTATCAAGTGACAAGAAAATAACGGTTCAACAGTGTTATATATGCGGTGAGAGGTGTGATTGTTCATTAACATATTTGTCTAAACAAATAGTTTCGCGCGGATGGAATCCGATTGCGTGTTCGACCAGAAAGAAGAAACCTAGCCTGAACACGCAATCGGGGGTTTTTCCCTATATAGGCGTTATTCCTAGAGTAATCCCTCTCAAGTCATTTTTAGATCCCCCAGCCTCAAAAATCCTAGGAGGGTCTAGAAGTTTCCACAGGTGGACAGCCCTAACATCTTCACAGGCATCTTCATCGTCCAAGAGAACACCTACTCTAGGCACGTGGTGCATTATCGACCAGCGAACGGCATAACAATTCTAAAAATAACTTGATAGGGATTACCTTCATAATAAGGCCTACATGGGGAATCATCCTTTATCCTGTCGTGTGGTAAATCAACAAGTGCCTGCGCCTTTGGTCATAACGAACTCGATCGCGTTCAATTATCAAAACGTTTGCGTTCAAGTGAATCAAGGCTCATACCGGAGTTTCGTTTAATTTCGCTCGATTTACTGCACCACAAATCGATTGATTAATTGGTTGGTTGTACAGAGATTACATTAGTGATTAAAAAACATCATACCCTAATTTGCGGACAGTAAACTGATTTTACCTTATTTAGATTGTGATATTGTGAAATACACGCGTCACTGTGAACCAGTTTTACAGAAGTCCCGCTAGCATTCAAATCGTTCCAAACTTGTCTGTTACTTCAAAGCTTGCCTCGGAAATGGCAATGTGTAAGTAAATTGTTGACCAACTTTGATCCAGGTCCGCAAATCCATACCAGGAAATTTCCAATGTAATCATCATCCGTCTTTTACGTGCGATTTAGTTCGAGTGATAGCTCTTTTGTCGAAATGATACTGATTGTTTATTGAATAACTGAACTGTCAATCTTTCCTTTTTAGTTGACTTTTGTTTTCTTTCTTTACAAATATTTTCTCCTTTTGATTTGTTTGCTTGTTTGTTTGTTCTTGTTTTTGTTTGTTTGCTTTTTTTTTTTCTTAAGTTCATGGCCAGCAACCTGTGAAAGGGGAACGGGTTATCCTTGACCAGCGATCTACTATCGAATTGTAACGCAATCAGTGCAGTTGACCAAACTTTAAAACCGCCGAAGACGTTGTTCTCGAATGATATCTAGGATTACTTCAATATCCAGAAAATGTATTTTGATTACCGAAGGGAGGTCTTAGCAGTGTGCGGTATCAGACGCGTAAAACCTGATCTGCTAGCTGCAAAACCGAGTTCATCTCTGTACGTCCACAATTTTTATCAAATTCTTTATTTTCATTTTTGAAAATAGTTTTAAAATACTTACGACTTTCTAGTAATTTTTTCCCAATTTCTTTATTGGCTATTGCAGACCTTCAATTAATTTTTACAGATTCGCGACGAATGCAAGTGGTACATGAGCTGGATCAAATTAAGGCATGCGCAGAGTGAGATATTTCAAATGATCTAAGCATCGAGTAAGCCTTTCAGATTTAGCAATGCTTTATCAACAGCAATTTTAGGAAAAGTATGAGCAGGGAGCATGTGAGCATGCTTTCAGGAAAACTGTTTCCTTAATTCTCTCTTCCGAAATCTAAGCATGCAGGGTAACCAACTCGGCAGAAGATTTTACGTGCAAGCTACTAGACTAATTGATGATTGTTCTCTGCCCTGGTTTTGGTCAGTTTCTGATAAAATTTTAACCTGCCTCTAAGTTAAGAGATGGCGGAATACTGCAGAAACTGTCTGTACTGATCCTTCCCAGCTTTTAAGTGCTTCTTCAAGAGGACCGAGTGCTAATTAGAGTAACAGTATTTACGCTTTTATTGAACAAATAATTTGGCAACGAACAAACCAACTGAAAAGAGATTACAGTTACTTCTAAATAACATTTATCCTGTTCAGAAATTGTCCCTTAGACAAAGCCTCAAAGCTGAGTGCGAAATAGAAATTTAATTTATGAAAAATTGCCAGTTGAATAAGAGATGTCACTATTTGCCATCATCCAAGAAACTCTGACAAACTTCAAACCTCACATTAATAGCAATCTTTTGGCCTACGTCTATGGCAAGCAGTTATTTACGCTTCGATGGCATGCAGTTATTTACCGAAGTTAACTGCAGTGATTCGTGCAGTTTAATGCCTTGATTGTGTACGGAACAACAGCAATTAAGTGAAACTAATACAGGATGCGGGGCTGGTACTCCCATATATTAGCTACATACGTATGTGCCACTATTGGCATCGTGTTCCGGGTGTGATCCTTAGATAGGATACCTAAATTACATGATGTTTAAATTACAATGTTACAGAAACGAAATATAGTTGACCCGTTCACGCCATTCTTAGTTTTTGTTTTCCCTTGTACAGGGTATCATCTTTCGGGTTTGTGCCTTAAATAGGGAATCACTTTGCGTTTGCTTTATCCTTAAATAGGGTCAGGCTTTAAGACTCTTCGCGGCACACACTTATTCTAGATTTATGGGAGTGCTTCCCCACTTCCCGAATACATAACCCACTATTCCATGGAAGGGCTACTCCTGGACACAGATGGAACACCTGGCCAGAGGCAGAGGGGATTGAAGGAGTCTTGTCAATGACCTATGCTCCGCAATGGAGAAGGCAGGCTTCATTAAACACTTTTAGACGACGTAACTTGTGCTGTTAAATAGCATAATAGTACATGATTGATAAAAATGCCCATAATATAGATTTTAATCGTTTTTTATAGCTATACTGTTAAATAAGACCACTGTCTCCCACTCAACTGAATGGAACAAGTTCGTTCTCTATTGTTATTATAAACGAGCTCAGTTCATACCGCAGACTTAAACAGTTCTTGACAACCCTGTTGCATTCGCGTCTCAGTTCTTCACCTGGTATTAAATGCAGCTTTTAAGAGAATTGAAACAGCCTTCGATATTTCTGATTTAGTGATAATGTACAGAGATAATCATCGATTTCTACAAGGTGTTATAATGGGCCCAAAGATTCGCCTTAAGATGAATTTGAAAGTCTTTCTAAATTCCGGTATTCGCACTCCGTACACTATTGGATTGATTGACGAGTTTGAGTAGTGCAAAAATTTGTAAAATATCAATGCTGACCAACTAAAAGGGCACTTCGTTAGTGGGCAGTACACATTAACGACAAGCGTGATGAAGAATGGAGTCCATGCAATCAAAAAGAACCCAATGACAAAGGCAATGGTTGTGGCGGTGCGAATCTCTCGCTTCAGTGAGCGCTTACTTGGGTTGTTGTTCATCCTGGTCATGGCAATTTTCCAAATGGCTGCATATGAAACCACGATGATCGTCAACGGCAGTAAAAAGAAGACAACGAAGGTAAAGAGAACCCGGTCTCCTGCTTGGATGTCAGGGATCATGAGTTTCACAGAAGCTGCTAAGGCTGAAATGAACCAAACCAGGAACAAAGCAATGTAATAGACGTACTTTTTGGTGTTGCGATGCTTCACGGCCCAGCCAACACAAAAGTAGCGTTCCATAGAAATGGCCATGAGATGTAAAATTGAAGAGATTCCGGCAAAGCTGTCCAATGTGGTATAGAGCTCGTTTAAGTCAATGAAACTCTTATTCATCGCCTTCCGATCGGCGTAGTAGTTCAAAATGTACATCCACAAAGGAACGGAAATGGCACCTACCAAAATGTCGGCAGCTGCTAAACCAAGCACAAAGTAGTTCGTCACCGTTCGGAGTTTGTCGTTAATGAAGAAAGCTGTCACCACCATTAAGTTGCCAAACACGGCAACTAAGGCAATGACAGTGTAAAAGAAACAAGCTGCAATGACTGATTCCTTTGAAGGGAGACCATAGTCTTCGCCTCCGCCTCCTCCTCCTCCAGGCGTGGGCGATGTGACGTTAGGTGCTGTTGTTATGTTTGGTGTTTCTGTCATCGTACCTGACTAAGAAAATAGACAAAAGAAACTTGTGTTAATGTCCGTTTTATTTAATGATTACGACTTAACACAATAGTCTTAGTTTTTAAAGATGCTTCCTTATTGTTTGCTTGGTAATTTTTTGACCCAATATTAGTCACGAATGAAAATATTAAAATTGAAAATGATCAATAAAATAATATCATTATTATTAACGTGACTTAATTTATAACACCAATATGAGATCAAGTGTGTAAAAATTGAAATATATTACGTTTCTACATAGCTTGCGCCCTCGCTGCATTGCATTCCAGCGAAATGAATAATTTTTGCCAATTTGAAATATGGGACCAAGAAGGAAACGAATCGATCAAAAAAGATAATTGAGACAGGTTACATATGATTCATAAATTCCTCGATATACTTGTTTCATAAGCTAAGGAAGAGCTGATTGAAACAATTTGTTTTCTGCAAATAACTACTCCTTCAAAATCTAAACTGAACTTGTTTCTCAAATACACACCGTGTTGAAACAGCGAGGTCGAATTTGCAAGAAAAAAAATCAGGATTTTATCGATGGGCCAATTTAATTGCAATGGGCCTTTTGCATGGCGACTCATTTCTCGGCAGACCTCTTATAAGCCCATCCGAAATGACTTACCTGACACGCGAATTAGCAGACAAATGGTCTATTGTCTATAGAGCATGAAACTGTAGATTCATCAAGATACTGTGCTTCTATCAATGTACGAAAGGAATAAGGGAGTTTTGATCATGTCCTCATCGAGAATATACGTGTGAGGAATGGCCAAGTGGCTTGTTAAAAGCTACGTTGTTCTTAGTGAAACTTCCAAATTGAATTTGACTCAACTGTTCTGGCAGCCAATAAGAGCATCAAGTAAGAGTAATTTATTTTCACACCTAATAACTACGCTTTATTTGGTTGCAAGAAAAATGGCAAAGCGAAGCGACATAGGAGAGCATTCGGCTACCTTACATTTCTCTGAAGTGTAAAAGGAGACGAAAATATACTCAAATAGTTGACCTTCATATGCAGCTTTATATCAACCAAACCTGGCCCCGACTCGATAATGATAGAATCTTTATCAAACGAATTTAATTACGCGTTAAAGTAAAAATTTAGAAAGTAATAACATTCAACTACACTTATTTGTATTTCCCTGAATTGTTATCTCTTACTAGCGAAGAATTTAATCAGTGCAACCTGTGCGATTAAAAGTTGTTTGCCTCGCACCAGACTTTATGTCATATTGATCCTCGTTTTTGGACAGAAAAAAAAATTAATGCTTCTACGTATTTATGAAGAGTAATTAAGCGAAGTCAACAAACAAAACACTTGTCCTGTGTTTTCTATAGTTGTCGGATAACATGAAAAGAATTCAGCTGCTTCATTGACAACCAGTTAGTTTTTAATGCATCCTTTGTTTTGCAAGAAGTGAGGCGCTTCTAGGAGCAATTAGCATGTTAGTTCGAAAACGCTTATTTTTACATAAATGGCGATTCATCTGTCCATAACTCAACCACTATGGAAATGATGTTTACTGAGACCAAGTTATCAGTGTGTTCTGTAAGTGAGCTGAGCTGTGGAGGTTTTATTCGTCGGATTGTCGCTTTCTGGTGTTCACCAAAATAGAAGATAATTGTTTTGGAGGGATAGCTTGATTCAATTTACTTCGGCAGACCACAGGAGGTTTTAATATATTCGTAACATCATTGCTTGTTGTGAGCCATTCGGACTTGGTAAACGGGTTATTTTTTACACTAGGTACATTTGGTAGCATATGAGAATTTGTGCCAATAGAGAAACGCCGTTTTCTTCACTTTCTCCCAGCCAGCCGACGTTGTACGCTTTCAGGCAAACATATATCTCCAAACTATTTACATATAACAAAGAAAAGCTGCATAAATTATACCCAACAAACTTCACTTTTACCCATGCTTCCCTTCAATAAAAGAAATTCGTCATCGTCTTTTATCTTTTATCGTGAAAAACAGAGTCATTTAGCTGGGTTCAGTAATGAATATCGCACTCCTCCGGTCAAGCGTTCACTGAATTGATTTTAGAACATAATAATAGTACCAAAACACAATAGTGAAAAGTTAATGCAAGCTGTTGTAAGAACAAAGCAAATTTAGAATGCAAGAAATTTCATCAAAGTAAAGTTTTTAATAAAACACTGTAGTTACTCTCGTAGAAAAGCAATTCAAAATTCTCAGAGTATAGGATAAAGTTGTATAAAGCATAGCAGTCCTGACCCAGCAAACGACCGTCAAGATCGAAGTGAGTGAGCTCAATAAAGAATTATTATTAAAATATATGATTATTATTATCATCATCATCATTATCATCATCATCATCATCATCATCATCATTATTATAATTATTCATAATCATATTATTAATGCAATTGCTATTGTAAATAGTTTTGTGCTGTAAAAAAGTGATCATGTAAAGTTTTAGTGAAGAATTTTAGACTAGTAAGCCCAATAACATTATTATCATTATCATTATCATTATCATTATCATTATCATTATTACCATTATCATTATTGATATTATTATTATTATTATTATTATTATTATTATTATTATTATTCACCAATTTAAGGTGTTATCCTTGATTCGAGCAATTATCGCCCTTGAGCTTTTCGCACCGACAACATCCTGGCCTGCGATATAATAATTTTCAGATTCTGAAAACATTTAGAACATTATTCTTTCTTCGGTACCCTTGGAATGGCAAACTACTGAAGGTGGTTGAATTTAATAATCAAGAAAAAAAAAACAGCCCTGCAAGCAGGAACAGTTCGTTTTCGATGCTAACCACCAATAGAACAAGGCATCAGAATTTAACTTCAAGAAATAACGTAACTGAATTAGTTTGAACGTATAAAGACTGAATTGCGAGATGTCGAAATTGTTGGCATAAATGTGTTTGCATTTCTCTGATTTAATTTTTATCAAGAATCTTGTCGTTTTCAATGTTCAACTGAATAACAACAGATTTTTGACGAATTTGAGAGATTATATCTACACCCCAGTTTTGTTATTGCCCCAGTTGAACTTAGTTTCTTATCATATCTTTTTGAGTTATCAATCATTTACATCTGGCGACGGATAAAAGTTAAAGTTTGAACGAAATGTTGCATTAATTTCATAAGAATTTCCTTAATTTCTGTTTATTGATTGACATTTCTTGTTTCCTTTTGTCATTATTGCAATCCAAAGATACAGAAAAATCCAGAATTATGTTGATGAAAGCAACAGAACGCGCAAGAGCATTTGATTGCCTATCTACATTTGGTGCACAGTAAGCTGTGATCAAAGGCCAAAAGAAAACTCGATAGCGAAGTTTCTTTTCTGTGCTAGAGTCAACACACAAAAAAGTGGACTTTCCTACATCTATTTAATAGCGGAATTTTTTTAAATCAAATGACGACCCTTTATTTAGTCAATTCGAATGATTTTAACACCAATTCAAGTCCATGCGCTTATTATGGATTTCCATAGGCTGATAATGTTACTGATATTTAGGGCATGCATTTCGTGGAACATTAAATGAACTGGGTAGGTAAATTCGTTTGCGCTCGTGTTAACGTTTACTTTGTGAAACCAGTTTCACCTTTTTAACATTATGGACTATTCTAACTAACTGCACTGACTAACTGCACGTTTTCACCGAGAGAGGCTCTTTTTTTATAGATATCATGTTCTTGGGTTTTTTATGAACAAGAAAGCAAGTGAAATTTGCATCTAGGAAAGGAATGCAAAAACACAACTTTGACATGCAGTTGGCATCGTATAAACTGGCGTTAAAATGTTTCAAATTGCTAATGTCTCTCGTTTCCTAGAAGTAACCCTCTTTTGTTTTGTTTCTTTCTTAGTAGAAAACTTAAAGGTATCATCATAATATACCAAAGCAATAGTAAGAACCTGGTACAGGAATCAATCTGAAACAATACGTCGTCACAATCGACAAACAAACTTCCGCAACAACCATGGAATGCCTGATTGTTTTAGTGAAACGACTGAATTTTTAGCAGTATTTTAAAAAATGATGCGGTTTTTGTCCCGACTAAGATCTAATGTCTTGTGCTTTTAGCTTAAGCTCTGTTGTAACGTGCGAGAGCGAACAATTCATTGTATAAGAACAGAATCAGTTATCAAAGAGAACCAAAGTCTTCCGCTGGAAAGATCAAACGTGTGATCGATTTGGTGTTGCCTGATCGTTTGAGAAGAATACTTATCAGGTCTTGGACGCAGCCTTAGTTTAAAAGTGATTCCATTCGGCATGAATATATGTGCTAAGTTTTCGTGGAGAGTAACTGGATTTACAGTATTACTCACTTGTGGTACTATCTATGGCAGAACGAAACCACCTATATTACAAGGACAAGAATACGACAGATATTTATCAAGTTCCCCAATGTTTCCCCAGGAGTGGCAAATTCAAAACAACAAGTTTTCGTTATTGAGCTATTTTCTAACACAGAGAGTTGTTTTAGGAAAATATCTTTACGTGCCGTATTACTTTCATTTCCGAAGCAAATCTTTGAGTGTTTGCTCTATCACAAGCAATCACCAAAACTGGACGCGCAACATTTACCCTGTGATAATATACACCTGAGCGTGTGACCAGGCTATAACTAACCTTATCCAGTGAGATTGTTGATAGTTCGTTAAACCAGAAGGCCTTGTTAACGATGTCAGATTTTTTTTTTCTTTTAGTCCCTTTTCAAACCTGATGTTTGTTATCGCAGGAATAGTCAAATGTTAACACCCGGCAGTAACAAGCTATCACATTTTTTGCATTTCAATAAACTGCTGTCAATCAGAACTTTTAATTGCCACCTTCAAAGTAAACGTTAATGTCAAGCCAATTGAAAATTCATGAGAGTTGAGTGACGGAAATCTACCGCAAACAACACAGCAATTGTTCCTAATATCTATAATCCTACGCGTGTTCTGAAGATCCAAGAAACTTCATCAACTTCTTAGTTCATGAAATGAATTTTCCGGAAATTGCAGCAGGAACGTGCAACGTTTGTAATAAGAAACGGAAAAATAGAAGAAAAAGTTATCGGCGTTGCTTTTAAAATGGAATTAAACGTTCAGCAAACAAAGTTTACTCCGAATTACAATAATTTCATCTCGGAGTGAAAGTTTTCAAGCGGAAAAGTTTATCTTTCAGTTTAAGTCGTGGGATCTTTTAAGGTCCAGAACCCAAAAATAACTTGAATTACTTTCTTACAATACAAAACACCAGGAATATGGCAATAACGAAAAAAACAATACAAAGTGTGATTAAGTGAGATACTAAAAAGATTAGTAACGAAGAAAAAAGTTGTCGAAAAACACATCGTATTCATTAGTCAAGAGTAAAATATACAGGAAAGTGAAAAACAAGACTTGATTGCGAATTGAAAATCAGTAAAGAAAATACAATTCTAAGAACGCAAATTACACATTTTTAGTTTCAATCATATTTGATTTTGCAATAAATCCTACCTCGAGTCAGTGTTTTTAGTAAAAAAAAAAAAAGGAAATAAATGAGATCGTCAATCATGGCGGCACTTTACCATCAGAAACTCATTTATATTCTAAGCCATACTCCGTGACTATTTTCTGGGTGATAATCAACCAAGAAAAGTCGGATTGGTTGACGATTGTGGCAGTTCATAATTTCCTGTTCCTACCCTGTTCATGTCTTAGGACAAATTTTAAACACCGATATAAAAATGTGTGAGAGCTAAACTTCACAGCTTTGCGGGTCGATGGTGTGCGTTTTGGGCTCAGATGAAGGAAACTAAATGAAATCATTCTTGACAAGCGTTAGTGCGCGCAGGAAAAGAAATTCAAATGTAAAATTAAACAAGCAACTTGCGAAATTGTTCTTTTACCTTTGCCTTATACTAGTTATCGATCCATTACGAAAAATGTTAAAAGAAATACCCTAATCCTGACTTTTTAGATGTTCATTTGAAATACGCTTGAAGGAAAATATAAAACTTACGACAAATCAAAAACCGAAAATTAAATCGATCTCTTATCCCGTGCTAATACTATGAAAGCTACTCATTTCCTACCGGTCAAAAACACAATTCTTTGTCCACTGTTTTTTTGTTACTTGGATTTCTTGAGTGCAAACTGTCAAGAAAAACCTAAAATTGACTGGAATATTTTCCGAAGGGAATTCAGTTCATCTTCCTCTGCATTGAAAATCTAGGTAAATATGTCTGTCTACTTAATTCTTAATCTGTAGACATAGCGTCCGCCTACAGCTGGATTTATTAAAAGCTGTAGGAATAAATGAATGGTCAAAATTCAACACAACAGGTACGAAGGCAGATTTTGGGCCATTAAAAAGTTTAAGACGCAAATGGGCTTTGCGAAAATTAATGACCCTTTAAGTGCAAAAAAAGTTTTACGTACAGCTGCAAATGGCTTTTTATCGCGTTTTCTCTCTGGGGAATTAACTGCTAAAAGTGCTTATGTCGCTTTTTTGACAACGTTTAAAGAAATATTAAAAATTGGGAGCCTTCTGCTGACTGACACAATAAAAACACAACGATAATCGGTTATTTAAATTGCTTCAGTGCTTTTTTTCCACAGACCTATCATGTATACCCAAAAACAAAACCCACCGACAATTTTGAATAAAAGTTGAAAAAAGCCCGCCAAAGAAAAGGGAAATCATGATAAGCTTGTTTTGTTTCCTTACATACAAGATGTGGGCTGGTTACAGGATCGTACTGGCAAATATTACAAACCACAACTTGTGGACGACACTGGAGAAGTGCCTGACGATGTTACACATGGGGAATAAAAAAGTGTAGCATTTCAATACCTTTTGCGGAATAGATCCTTGAGTTTTCTGTGTAGTTAGTTTGTCCCAGTGACTCTATAAGCTCTGCCGACTGCAAGGTTGCATGTTTTATACCCTTAGCTTATGTTGGCCTCTCAAAGCGAAAAGCTTATACAACAGGTCTCCTTGAAGGTTTGGAGATTACTCTAAACAGTCTCGTCACTCGGACACAGTAACGAAAGCTGCGCATGTGTTAAGGGGATTTACATATATATTGTTAGAATCACGTGGCTTTGCTGATTACCAAGACTGAAGTGTTTTTCCTGTTGGCTATAATAACGTCAGACACAAAGCTACAGTTCACCACTGAAATGAGATGACATCGGACAGGACATTTTGAAGATAAGCATGAAAAATAAGCGTTTTATCAAAAATCTAACCAAATTTCCGTTCATTTCAAAACTCTAATGCTGCAGTATAGGTAAACAGACAAAGTTTAAAGCCTTGCGTGTAACATTGTATAAAGAAGCTAGGCATTACTTTGTTTGGCATGGATTATATTTGGCAAGAAATGTTTTGGCTTGTCGTCTTACAATGCTCTGACCACGTACTTAGCTGGAGTAGTTTCGCGGTAAACCCAAGTTCATCTCCTCGTCATGCTTGTAAATCGACAACTGGTCTGCTTCCCGCCAATTGTAATTTTTAAGCCTGTTATGATTCAGTATTTGAAAGATTTGTTTCTTTCAGTTTAAGTGCCATGTCTGAGAACTAACTTTAGATGTAGCTAGGCGTATTGACTGGTATCAACATTCAACTTGTGACATAATTTAACATGTAACATAAAGCAGTTGCTCTTTATGTCTTATTCAACTTTTACTTTCAGAATTCGTTTCAACATTGCTGTTTTCCTTAAAAATGCATAAAGATCATTAATTTCATCGATTTTTCTCTGAGCGCCTGGCTTCAGAGCGATGAAATTATCTTTGACGATTTCCAAGTGTCGCACATTCACGAGGGAATAAGTACCTGCGTAACCATCCTTAGAAAACAATTATTTTGTTTTCGCCTGTGGTAACTGTTTAATATGAAGACTTTTTGTGTTTCACGAACACGAAAGTCGTTGCAAATAGTTTCGAACTTTCGTTGTTGCACAATTCCAACGTTCTTTGAATTATCTATCAGACACTGACCGAAAAGTGTAAGCAAGGCGCAGAATGTATCTTCTTCATAATCCAACTCCACAGGGATATATCCTGTTAGACAATCGACCAACCATATGCTCCAATAAAATTGTCGCTGTTTGCCATCATAAGCTTGTTTTAATGCAACTTACTTATGAAATCGCTCCAAATGATAACATTTTCGAAATATGGTGGGAATAAGCGACCAAGCTCTATCGACTGGCTATAAGAATACTTTCATAACAAAAGAACGGTGCGTTCAAGAAAGTATTAAACGAAAGAGCCGACAAACTTGCTCTGAAGGAAAGATCATACATACATACATACGTATCTTTGTCATATGAGATAGAAATGTCTTGAAAATGCGGGTTTATGTATAGAATTTCACGCAGCTTGGTTTTCTCGTAGACATGGTAGATGTAAAGTTCGATGGTTCCCTTAAGACATTTCGCTTTTCGATATCCCCGCTATACTATCTTTTTCACACAAAAAATAATATGAAAAAACAACCAACCTACCTTGAATTTGAATTTCTACTTTCAATGTAATTTCCAAACTGAACAAGAGGATTAAATGAGGCAAGAACCAACTACAGTAATTATCATAGATGTGATTTGCTTGACATGCAGGTGATTATAACTGACTGGCACTATCACTGTGCTGTTGACACAATTACGAGCCATTAACCAGTATAATAAAGCTGGCTAGCAATATTCAAATTCGCCAAAAGTAGAACCTGTATTTTTTGGCAACTAAACTCTCGTTCGGTTAAAATATTTTCTTTTCTTATTTTCGTGACAGATATCGGGCGGAAATTGCTGATAAACGTCTGATTGGAAAATTCATCCAGGAAAACTGATCCATAGGAAATATTGCAGTTTTTTTTTTTTTTTAACACGGTCGGTTAAAGCCTATGTTTTTTAACGATAAAGAAACGATAGCGACACATCAAACATTTTGTCAGGAGAATTTTTATAGGCTAAGATCAGACAGTCGAAAATTTTAAATCGTTATATAAGTTTAGTGAGCCAACAAAAAAGTACTTCACAACACAGGACTGACACTTAAACCTGGAGTAGACAGTTTCTCCTATGGGATCACCGTGAGAGGAAAATCGATGTCTTGCTCGCTTGAGGCGATTTTGTTACTGTTGCTGTGCGTGTGAGTGAAATACTAGATGGTGTATTAAAAACAATACCGGTACAGAATGGCTCGAATGCAAATAATTTAATATTGTGTGTTTTTCGGATACGTGTCATCTTAGAAAAGTAATTTAATGTACACAGTAGCGCAAAGTAAATTTGAAAAAAAAACCGACACAAAAGAAATCAAAACAAAGATATATTTTACTTACTTTTGATTACATTCTAACCAATCACAACTTATCATTTTATTTTGCTTAACCAGACGAAAATGCTCCAAAGAGAAAAATCATGGTTGAGTACTTAGTAACGTGTGGAAATCATTGTAGTTCTGAACGCATAACTTATTAGTTATACACTATACTAGTTTATTGCATTGAGCTATCACTGGCATCCTGTAAGATATGAAATTAATCAGTCGTTGTTGTGCCCCTGTCAATCCGCAGACCACCAAATTAAACCACGTCGAGGAAAATTTGAATAGTCCAATATTTCTGATGAAACCATGATGAATTTGAAGTTGGTATATTTATTCTAGATAAATAATAATGGAAATTAAAGGTTAATTCTCCAGAGAGGATATTCGGAAAAGCTGGTCATGCGTGGGTTTTAGAGGAAGATGGATTAAGAAATGAAACACACACAGGGGGGCATGTGTTATAATCCAGAATCCCATTTAAACCTGATGAGAACTGAAGTATCTCGGAAACACAATTATTTTAACAATTAAGTTGAAAATGAATGGTTTGGCGTTCGGCCTTAACAAAGAAGGTATTCAACTATTTTGAGAAAAAATGTGAGAAAAAAAACTGATAAAAAAGTAAAATGAATTTTGTGATGTTGGAATTTTCCAAGAAATGTCACGGACTTCTACATAAATATGGAGTCTAAATGTACATGGTTTCAACATGTTGTCTATAAGGAGTGCTTCAGTCTCTGCTCAATATGCTAATAAGGTAGGACTATGAATTAAATACAACTGAGCAAAGAAAGAAATCTTTCTCAGTCCCTTGGAAACCTCACTTGCTACCAGACATCTCCATTTCCACTATTGTTATCGTGTAATTTAAAAATTACACATCATTGAAGTCGTTTCTCCTCAGTTCAAACTAATCGCTTAGCTTATAACAGTACAAAGGAAGATATCCGGGGCAATAAAGCACAATTTCCTTCAAACTACTTGGAAATTCACAAGAAAATCATCGAACGAGAAGATAACAAACAGGATGAAGGTAAAGTCTCATATTTTCATTAACCTAGCTTAATGATTATATTAGTATAATAGCCTCCGAGTTTTACCATGTTTACAGTTGTTTATTAACTAAAGGAACATTCCTTGGTGAAGTTAATTTGTTCTGCTGTACGTATATGTACAGATTTATCATTTGCAGGTCCAATCCTCCATGGGCAAAAAGATGGCGGCTATACGTTTTCGTACAATACCTTGCAAAACTAACACAGCCCATCGGGCGCAAGGAAGGCCATATTTTGGCAAAATCTGACCATGTGCTAACAGCATTGTGTATGTTAAGTTTGAGATTTTTTAACTTTTCTGGACGTGTTTATGAGCGTTGTTAAGGTTTTCGTGCGCTACGAATTATGGGTAAATGCACCTGTCGCCATCTTTTCTCCCTCTCCCTTATTGATCGTTATCAGACATCATTACTTGTTGCCCAACATTTTTCTTGTAATTAAGCTCTAAGAAATTGTTCGTAAATCAAGAATATATCTTTTTAATTATCAACTCCCTGCTGTGCCTATCAGTACCAGACAATATTTGCAATATATGATTAATAATTAGAATTTTCTCGCCTAGGAAATAACTAAAAACAAAAAAAAGCCTATGTGGCCAGTGAGTCTGATAATTAATAATTATTCACCGAAGTGGAGGAAAATACCCATTACTTTCACCGACACTGAGGTGAATAATTGTTTTAGTATATACCACACAAGCTGTATAATAAGCGGACCAAAACGTTATTTTATGTGCGACAAGCGGTCAGAAATTTTAAAATCTCTCGCTCCAGCCGCTCGGAGGTGAATAGTACTTGCTCATCACCCCCGAGTTAACCAATCAGAGCGCGCGAAAAGCACTATTCACTTGTGTGGTATATACTAACTCATAATAACTACACAAATCATAGCCTCTTATCGAACGCCTGGGAAAAAGATTATTGTAACAGCAATGGGAATTTATTTGCGTTTGCCTAGTTAATATCCTTGCAAAAAGGCGCCACTATTGATAAACAAACAGAATGATCAGTCACGGCATATTGTAAAACATGGACTGGAGTGGACTGGAGTGGACTGGAGTGGAGTGGACTCGATTTGTAAAATATGGAATGGATTTGGAAAACGCGGAATTGTAAAACATGGATTTGTAAAAGGTGGATTTGTAAACGTGGATTTGTAAAACATGGATTTGTAAAAGGTGGGTTTTTAAAACATGGATTTGTAAAAAATGATAAGCGCGCGACGAGTACAGTACGGATTTTTTTTTTTTTTTTGCGCTGATCAAATCGGAAACCGTGCGATAAAAACTAAAGATTGTGGCACCCAGGTGACAATAAGCGGCAAGAACGTAACAGAAAACCGGATGCTATCCTACAATATAATTAGGCAGAAGTTTGTGCAAGCGGCTAACAAAATCAACTGTTATTTCATTCCGTAAATCTTTGCTTTTTTAGTTTGTGCAAAAGGTGGATTTGTAAAAAAAATTGTAAAAAAAATGTAAAACAATAAACTTTATTTTGTTTGCAGATCCTTCGAGCAAACAGGATATCAATGGTATATATTCCAAATAATTCATTCTTTACTTTTACATGCATTTACTTTTACATACATTTCAAACAATTCATTCTTTACTTTTACGATTAATTCACTTCAACATTAACTGTAACGAAAGCATACAAAGAATTATAATTCCTCTATATTTTATCACAAAGTATATAAATGCAATATTGTAACACTTCTTGGTGAGAAACGGATTAATTCCAATCAAGAAAATGAATTGCTTGAGCCGGTGCTACACGTTTCTTCAACATTTTATTTGTTGAAGGAATGACTGTAAATTTCTCAAACACTAGTTAATAACAACACATTGCTCCTCGTCGGTGCATTTAGCCAAATAAACTGTTCCAAAAGTACCGCTTACTATTTCTTCCTTTAGGTTTATAGAATTTCACCCAAACTCGGGCAAAGATAACTGCCGTCTTCGCTTTTTAAGAGAAAGAGATGGAAGCTTGAAAGCTGCCATCTCGATCTCGAGCTCGCCGTGTAAACTTTCGCCCCAGAATTTAAATTATGCAAGACTTTATTGTTCAAAGGTCAAGACATTCACTCCAGCTTTCTGTTTATGGATACATGTAACTGACAGCAGCGCCAAGCTGTCAACAGTGCCAATACTCAAACGAAAAGAAGTATCCCGACGCCCGACAAAGACCTTTGGTAGCCAGGGTAGCAATAGCTAAAAGCAAAGATTTATGGAATTAAATAACAGTTGATTTTGTTAGCCGCTTGCACAAACTTCTGGCTAATTATATTGTAGAAT